TTTAAAATGGGTAGCATCCTGATTTTATCACAAGGATTTAGCCACCGAAATTGCCATGCAGGTGCAGACCAGGTCCATCGCAGCTCCCAGGGTGCTCCAGCAGCCATTTCCTTAAGCTAGAAAACTCCCAGTTTCGAAAAAACCTACACTGCACGCCTCTGGGAGCCAGAATGGACCCAGGCTGCACCTGGACAGTGATTTCAGTGGCTAAATCCTTGTGATAAAATCAGGATGCCACCCGTTTTAAGCCAGTTTAACTTGTTATGCAATAGTCTCTTAGCTCTCTCCTCTTTCTTTTGTCTTTTCAGCAGGAAGGCAAAGCAAAACTTCATTTATATACTGCTTCCTATCGCGCTATGGGATGTCTAAGTGGTTTACAACTGTAAGCTCATTGCCCCCCAACAGCTGGGAACTTTTTAATCCATTCAGGCATTCAGCAACTTGTTGCCTGTCACAGTCAAAGTTTGTATGGATATGCTGGACTTTTTATCATTTTACTGCTTATTTATTGCTATTGTAGTGGATTAAATTGTATCAATTAGTGTTTCAATAGTTTGATTATGTTAATTTATATTTAAATAGTTATAATTTCTTGTGTTGGTATCCCAGCTTGGAGAGACAAGTGGGATGTAAATAAATAAATAACCCACCCCCCTAAGAAACAGGGGGAACAAGTGATCAGAAGGGATTGACAAAAACTGGGTACCTCACCTTGCATGAAAGGAAGTGTTTACGATTAAAGCAAATCCATATTTCAAAGGAAGGCAGTGGCAAACCACCTCTGAGTATTCCTTGCCTAAGAAAACCCTATGAAATTCCTGGGTGGCCATAGATTGACAGGTGACTTGAAGGCACACCCACACCCACACCCACACAGGGAGGAAGAGAGAGAGAGAGCAATACAATGCTGAATATTGTACACTTTTGAGGTTAGAGCCAGCTTAACTAGGGGCCTTTGCAGACTGCCAGAAATAGTGCACTTTAAATTGAAGCACTGCCCTGGCTCAGTGCTAGGGAATCATGAGAATTGTATTTTTTTCTGAGACATTGAGCCTTCTCTGTCAGAGAGCTCTGGTGCCACAATAAAATACAATTCCCATGATTCCCTAGCACTGAGCCAGGGCAGTGCCTCAATTTAATGTGTACTATTTCTGGCAGTCTGCAAAGGCCATAACTTAACTAACGTATGTAGCACTGATTTCAGTGAGCCTACTCAAGGTATTATTAAATCTAGCTCCAATCCTTAATAATTATTTTGATTGTTCCATTGTTATTTGGATTGTCTACACTTGCCAGAATACTTTGGGCTGCTCCTGGAGTATTCTAGCCCCAAATTCCCACTGAATTCACTGCTTACTTTGTAACTGTTTAGCTCTCTTCCCCAGCAATGATGGGCTACGGCCTTCCCACACAGTCCCAATAGTCACCCAGCACTGCTGCTCAGGTCAGAATGAGGCACTCAGCTATGTTTTTGATACTGGCCCTCTTGTTCTGACCTGAGAGTGACTTGCATAGGCAGCAGCAGCAGCAGTGGGCAACCTACAGGGTCAGTGAGTAAAAAGGCAGCTGCCATTGTCACTGAAAAGCCACCAAAAAACCAACAACACTTCAAATTGTGAGTTGTTTAAATATGATTTGGGGAAGAAGCCCTGAACTGGGTGAAGGCACAGTCTGGACCTGATTTTAAGTTTTGGCCCTGTCTTGTGGAAGCAGGATCAGCAAGCCCAGGGGGAGTTCAGGGTAAATCACCCATGTAGATGAGCTCATTTTCATTGTGATTAGCCTCTTCTTCCTCCAAATCAAAATTAACCACCACAACAAAATCAAGACTACATCCCTTTTATTTCCTCAAATATATATTAGTATTACATCTGGTAATACAAATGCTTGTCAAGCAAGACTCAGGGATCATATTTAGGGTTAAACTATCAGGAGAATTGCTAATATGTTTCATGACTTCCAATACCTGTGTTACAAGATCACCTGAACCCAACTGCGGAAATGACTAGAAGTGGTTGTCTCTGGCCAGTGGTAGGTTCTGTACTGAATGTTTGCTAGTTTTAATTTAGGGTCTGAAAATACTAGAGAAAGGGTCCCTGAAAACTCTCTCTTCCTCTCTCTGTTCCTATTCACTACTGTAATTGCATCTGCTGCACTCAACCAAGCATGGTCCTGTGCCAGTGTATCCATAAAGGAGCTCAGGGTCCAAACCACACTGCAGAAATAATCCAGGGAAGACCTAGTTAATGGGGTGCAAGTGGAAAGGAGAAGCCAGGCATAGTCAGACACGCATTCTAGACTTT